CATATGAGGGGTAACCATTTCTTAACAGTATGCCTTTTAGATTCATCAAATAATAATAATACCAAAAATTTAATAATGTTTTGTTATTGATACTCATTATTCAAACTTTAAAGAATTATATTAAAATGTAAATTTTGCTTAACTATAATCCCTATGGTAGTACTATAAATATTATAATTATTATACTAGTATTTTGTTGATTTCAAAGCTGTTCATAAAATACTCTAGTTGTAGGAAAATATAATTATGTAACTATTATATAGTTATAGTATATTATAATATATGTAATTATTGACTTTCTTTCTACATGTAGACATGCTAATAATATAACCGAACATTCAGAGAAATATATCAAATTGTCTTAATTTCATTACAATTTCTGTCAGCATACAGTACTGGCACTGGTACGGGCATTTATAATGCACCTCTTTCTTGCGGTTATAAAGCGCAGTTCCTTTCCCTGGTCATTGGATCCACATGCTAAGTGTTGCTGCTGGTAATCAGCGCAGGAGCAGGCAACCCCACCAGGTACCCATTAATACTCCTGGGTGGAGAGAAGCAATGCAGATAAAGTGTCTTGCTCAAGGACACTGTACTGTATTAAGTAATGAACATTCACAATAATTTCCTTCATCACCAGTAGTACTGTGTATTCAGAATAAACCATTACAGGCTTCTTCATAGCTGCATTGATGAATAATTTAAACTTTGTACTTACTCGCACACCACCATAGTGCTAAGACCTGATAATATTTCCACAAACATATTCTCATGCTACTCAGTTTTAGCATGTACAGTAACAACAATACTAGTTTTGGGATGGCAAGACTCTTATGACTATGATTGGTTTGTTGGTTTATTTATTGAAAAATTAACCTATTTTACAGCTGTGTGTTTGGAAATATTCTACATTGTCACATTTGAGGTGTTGTGCAAACTCCCAGAAAAGAAGGGCTACCTTCCTGCTGAGGTAGCGATAGTTGAGTACAGTCTTAGCGCGGGTATCATAAGAACCTTCCACAGATTCATCGATCCGGGACCAATTCCTATGGGATTCCGGTTTCTGTGTTTGTCAACAAGTAAGTTAATTTGGATTTTTTTTTATACTCATATCATTTCATTTCATTTATCATTTATCATTAAAAATTAATTAACATATACTTTACGTAGACAAAACAAGATAACATGAAAAGTACAAGATAAAAATAGGGCCAAATAAAAAATATTCTTGTGTTGGCCACACCTGACCAACTCAAACCCAAACAAAAAAGAATTTCATTTGTCACATGTTTGGTTAACACTCTGCCCACCAAACACGGAGATCTCCGTTTTTGCTAACGCAATGCTTGATCGCCAAACACGGAGTTTCCGTGGACCGTAAATATTTCACTATGTGTTTGTTTACATTAGCGTAGAGCGATATTGATTTAATCACGATTATCTCAGCTCCGTTGTGCGAAATTGCGTAAATCTGCAAAAGTGAGTCATTTTCTTTTTACTGTTACGGGTCACAGATTGAAAGTGTTTGGTACCATTGTAAACGTAAAATGTTTGTAGTTCTTGTAGTATTAATTACATGACAATCTGATCACAGACGCACTCTCAACGAGCTTCAGAAAAGTTAAAATTTGCTAAAAAGTCTGGCAGTGGCTGATACTATTTTTTCAAACCCCTGGCAGTCAGAGTGTTAATGATAATAAAGAAATCTTGAATCTTGACCTAAGACTCATAATAATAATTAATGGTATAGTGGGATCTGTAAAGATTCTTTATGGTAGAAGAAGCCCATTGTTAAATCATAGAGGTAAACACAAAAACTTGGGTTATTTTGGAATACAGTTCGTCTATTGGCTTTTATCGTCAATAACATTCATACTTAATTTTACATGGTAATACAAGATTCTTTTCTCTACATTGTATCCTTTACTTTATACATAGATAATAAAACGTTGGTGTACCAGATGACGCAGAAAAAGTTTTATATTTTTTTTTAAATGTCTACACTCTAGGGATAGGCTTTTGTATTGTGATCAATTCCATTGGTAAAGTGACCCACTGTAGTTGACTAACGAGTGCTAAACTGATGATCCAACCCAATGGCTGGTGTGTGTGTGTAGTACCAAAGTATAATTAAAAATTGCCATTGAATCTTTCAAATCAATAACGATTGACTTCAACTTGCCGGAGATTATCTTCGGCCAATGAGATCAACAATAATTTGGCCCTTCAAACGAATTAATTTAGAATTCAAGAACAATTAATTTTTATTCTTCCATTCAAATTTATTTTTATTCGTCCATTTGTATAAAAGCCAGGGTTATACACCAACATGGCAGGATTTGCCAAAAAAGTAAATTTAATTGAAGTCAGATGGCTCTCCAAAAGGTGTATAAAAATTTATTAAATTAAAAATTAAAAACGTACAAAAATTTAAGTATTTATATTTTAGGTAATACTGTACTGTACATAGCCAGCCCTTTCATATGTAAAATACTTAAGTAAATTTCGGAGAAATAAATTAATATTGAAAAGGAAATGTGCTTACTTCTTAGAAAATCATTTAACACAGAAAATTTAAATGTGTCGGTATGGACAAATGTATGAGTAAAAGTATTAGTTGATCAGAGTGTCTAGTATTAATATTTAAAAAAACAGAGTGTCTAGTATTAATATTAAAAAAACAGAGTGTCTAGTATTAATATTAAAAAAACAGAGTGTCTAGTATTAATATTAAGAAAACAGAGTGTCTAGTATTAATATTTAAAAAAACAGAGTGTCTAGTATTAATATTAAAAAAACAGAGTGTCTAGTATTAATATTAAGAAAACAGAGTGTCTAGTATTAATATTAAGAAAACAAAATATGTCACTATAAATTTTAGGTTAGGAAACACCCCAAACCTTTCACTATTTCATTTCATTTATTCATTTATTCATCTGCAATACAGTAATAGATAAAAAGCATAAATATAAGAATGCAATGATGAAAAGGACAACCAAAAAAAACTCAGAATAGCTTGTAAATCAAGGTGTCCGAAGTAAGAAAATAAATGTAACACAAGGCCACTCTCAGACTATAGTTCACCCTATAAACCCTTGTTGTAACAGCACCTTCATTGACTTAATAATAAATTGATTCACACAAAGAAATAAAAAACAATCCAGGTACAGTACAATATTTGCAGATTTTTTTATTTCATATTTTCTACATTGTTCTCCATCCGTTGTTCCAGTCCATCTATCTCTAATCATCTAGGTTACATTTCTTATCCTACTGTACCTAAACCCCCCAATTCTAAGTTTAATATCCTTAAGTAGTTTCTCACTACTGTGACATTTAAAGATTGGTGTGTCATCTCTTCATATCTCACACCACAGAAAATTTCCTATACCCTCCTAAACTGTGGGACTTTGTCAAACAAATCCAGTCTGACCACAATCAACTAACTTTGCATTCACATATTTTGACCACTACAGTCTTTGATTGCCACTAATGCCACTTTATAAAAGAAATTCTATATTCTTTGGTGACAAATTTGAAAGGAGCTAAAAATGAGTACAGAGTTATATTGATAAACATGGGAAATTTCGCTATTGTTATTGTAAACTTTCTTTTTTATAACCTAATTTCGTTCATTACATTTTTGTTAGGTGATAACACTCATCAGATTCCTATCGAGAACTTTGAAAGAGCAGTCACAGACTACAGAGCAATATGGACAGATATGTGCAATTTTATCAACCCAGACAAGAAGAAGTTGCCTGTGCTTTATACACTTGTAAGTGATGATACCAAGCTTCTTCTTTTCAGAAGAATACTTCCATTGCACTTGTTTATTCTTTCAAGAATGACTTGTGAATCATATAATTAGAGCAATAAAAAAGTTTAGTAATATTGTTATAATTTGTTATTAAGAGCTATAGTTCTACAAGGCAAAGGAGAGAAAAATGTTTCATAAAATACTCTTTTCAAATATAGAAGAGACAGATTCAAACTTAAATTAATAAAACAAAAAAACAAAAACAAAAAAAAAACACAACAAAAATTGGCAAAATAATACTTTTACATGGTATGGCATGTTTTGCTGTGCTGTGTATAATGACATTAAATATCCACGTCAACAGGTTAGATCTGTCCTGGTATGACTTCACTACCCTATACTGTGTAGAGTATACTGTTAAATAAATTCATTGAAAGGGATTCACTAAAATAAGGGAAAAAAATTAAATATTAAAAAAATAATAAGAATAAACAAATTAAATAAAAATACTAAGAATTTAATTAATTGGTTTTGTGCTATCTGTCGTCTGTAAGTGGAAGCATTTTTTGCAAAATATATGTTTGAATATTGTTAAATTGGATAAACTGCATTTTTCACAGCGTGAAAACTATGATAAAGTGGACTTCTGCATCGATTGGCTGGCGTACCATGCTGGTAAGTATCTGGTTTTTTTTCCATCCTATTTTCTTTAAATCGCTACATGCCATGGCCAGCTCTTTTTCGATTAACACTGATTGGTCAGTCAGTAATGATGTATACAGCACTTTATACAATTTAAGTCTGAAAGCAATTGTAATGTTAATACACCTGGTCACTGGATCTGTAGACTGCATTGCAGCCTAGTCTACTCCCTGGGAAGTACACAGTTCACCCTCCAATTCGAGGCCACTTTGGGAACTAAAAATTCAGGGTGGTTTTGGGATTCAGTCTCTGCTTGGAGGGTTACCTTGATGTTAAAAGATTGACAATTGTTACAGTAAAACATCCCCTTGGTACCAAGGGGTGTTCGTAAATTGAAAAATTCGTAAACTAGATGGTGTCAGTTTCCAATACCTACTGTAGGTCTACTGTAGCTATCCCCAGCCATTGAGCACCGATAGGCTGACGGCGGCCAGGCCTAGCACAAACCAACAGTGCAGCAGTGTGGTCTACCGCGCTAGAGCCTAGCTGAATTTACCGTCGATAAAAACCAAATTTTTTTAATCGTTTGCATTCTTCCACTTAACAAAATATTATTTTAACTCTTTTTCAAACATCTGTATGTTTTATGGACATTTCTATCGTCTTCTTTCTAGTTTTATATCGCCGAATTGTGTTGTTTACATGCATTTCGCGATCTAGCATTCACAATGTCAATAAGTTGCTGACCCCAACACTCTAATTCCTCATCATAAACATGTGCGCTCAATCCAACGACACTTGCGTTGGTAGTTCATTGTTCTGGATAGGTTTATTACATTAATATAGTGATGTTATACCAGAAATGGAAGAAAAGATCGAGCTATTAATTGAATAAATTCATAAACTTTATTTATTAAAAAGATATACATTATCACTTTGTAAACGTGCGCAATCAGACTTTTTTTATGGTAGTAATTGGTAGATGATGACGTCATCAGGGGCAAAGACAATTCGTAAAATCGACTGTATTTGGTTTTTGAAATAGTTGCCTCAAATTAGATGGTCTCAGAATTAGCGAGGTCTGGAATGGGAGAGTGCTCGGTGCATTCCGAATATTCCCAGATAATACAGAGACCAATAAATTACATGCCACAACGTTCTACAAGGTGCCCATTTAAACTTCTGGATGAAAATACAAATGTTGGTAATTACAATATATGAAGGCATTACCATCAAATAGACCTTGCACCTATAATATGGCCAAATATAATTTTTCAAATGATGGCTATTTAAATAAAATAATGATTAAAGTGGTTTTCCCGAAGTACTGTACGCAAACAAGATTTACAGCATTGGCTCGAACTGCTGACCTTCAGGTTCAGAGGCTGATACACAGCTGATGTGCCATCCTCTCCCACAATATAGAAATTAATGAGCAATTTGAGCATGTGATGATTGAAATATGAAAAAATATAACATACAGTTTTTGCTTTCTTTTTGAAGGAACTGTTAACAAACTTGAGGACAAGATATACGAGCTAGAGCTGGTTGTAGCAGATCTGTACGGCCACGTTGATGAGGTAACGCCATCATTATCATGCGTGAACAACATGTTTACAACAAGTAGTTTTGACTATGAACCCAGTACAAGGTAGGCCTAATTTGATGTAGACATATTTGCATAGGCCATAGGGTAAAACAACATTAAACTGTTAATATAAGGCACGTTGAAACAATTTGAATTAAGAGTAAAAAATTATTCTTCGGGTAAGCATCGTGTAAGCACTTGTCGGAAATAATGTGCGCGTAAATTTTATGTCTGTCTTAACTTCACAATGCAAGGCTGTCTGATCTAAACATAAGTACCGTAAAATCTCGAATTGAAGCCCAGTGGGCTTAACCTCGAGATAAACCCCATCTTCAATTGAAGCCCCCCTCTGTAGTTTGCAAAATTAGCCTCGAAAAGAAGGCTTCTTTTCAAGATAGCTTAGCCTTTTTTTCGAGATAGTACAGTACATACACTGTACATGAATATTAAAAAACAAATTATATTAAAAACAAGCTTGGTTTATACAGTAATTTAGGTGATTTATTGCCAGTTTGAACTCCAAGATACAGATTGATGTTACAGTGGCCTTTTTATTTATTGTTTTACAAAATTTACAGCATTCATTTCGAAAAGAAGGCCCCCCCTCTTTATTTTGCAAAAGTAGCCTCGATAAGAAGCTCACCCAAAGTTCGTAAAAAAAAAAAAAATGAAGCAGCCCAGGGCTTGAATTCAAGTAATCAAGTCATTTGCATTCTAACAAACCTGGTGGCCACTTATTGTGCTTGTGTGTGGAAACACTGTTAAACACATGCTGTTGTGAAAGACCTTGACAACTACGCTCAATGAAAGTGAAATGTAGGAATTCACAATATATTAACAGAAGTTTTTTAAGATTGTGTTTTTCATGGTATGATCAACATTATAATCTTAGGGTGGAAGGTACAATGTGAAGCATTTATATTGTTCCATCTAGGTGCTATTATTATTATTATTATTATTAAAAATAAATTAAAAATGTGAAGTTTACATAGTCCGTTTATTAAGTATTACATTGAAATTTATACATATTTTGTTGGTATTTATAGATGTGACTTTCATGAAGAATTGGAGAATAGGCACTGTGCCTTAGCTGTTGCAAAAATACACTGGTAAGGTTTCTTTAAATTTTTAATTCATAATGTATTATATATGGTCAGCATTGACATTTTAATTTGGCCATGGCATTCAAGATGCAACACCTACAGACTTCAATTCCGTCCCAGCCTTCCTTGAATAACGTAATGCGTTCTTTTCTGGGTGCATGTACCATTACCGGGCGACAGTTAAAAGTCTGAAGGAAGAAGAAGTAATTTCAGCAAAGTTATATATTACTCAAAGGACACAAGCTTGAATGGCTTCTTCTGGTTGAGAACTTTGCTTAGGATGACTAACCCTTTTACCGAGCAAAAAAGTCGAATGCGAAAAACATAACTTTGTTGCATCTTCCTCAGTGCTGGCTACATAATACTGTGCACATTTCTGAACTTTTCGTCGAAATTTCCAAGATTGTAATGACCATGTGTGCACGCAGTCTTATTGCAGGGCACCCTCCAATTCGAGACTAGTTTTTTAAAGAGCCAAATAACAATCATTGATCTTTATGATTGAGTTAACCCTCTAAGTAGAGATCGAACCCCGAGAACAACCCAAATTTTCTGGTTCTAAAGTGGTCTCGAATTGGAGGGCGAACTGTTTCTTAACGGATTAACTTTGTATGAAAATAAAAGTGCGAACAGTTTTACGATTTGACAAAGGTAGAGTCAGTATTTGTTATTGGTAAAAATTAATCCAGTACAAACATGGCTTTAGATTCGTCAATGAAGAAAAACAATAAAACATCTAGTTTATAATCAGTTTTAAAGAGATTTACAGCATTTTTTTTTTTTTTTTTTTTTTTTATAGTTTTGTTATGAGTGATGCACTTGCCACGGTGTATGACATTGAGCTCACTGGAAATCATGTGCCGGAGAGGTCTGATCCGTCGTACTCGACCTATGTAAACCCAGGACACAAACCGCCTCCCATTAAACAACCAGTCTCAAGAAAGGTAGCTACTGTACAGTAAAGCAATAGGGAGTAGCTATTGTTTCACCAGTCGTCAACAAAATTTGTAATTCTGATTAGATGTTATTGTATGTATGGATTGGATAAGGATAATTTCAAATTCAGATTAGATGTAGTACTGTATGTTTGGATTAGATTGGGATAATAACATTCCATCAGATTTAAGAATTGTTTGATACTGGTGTAACAATAGCCACTGTCTAAAATGTAGCTATATATTTTTTGTTTCCATAAAAAGAGATTTCTGACAGATACAATAAATTTTTACGTAGAAGAACTTACATAAGTTTATATTAGACATTACATTATATTTTAAATTTTAAAGTATAAAAATATACTACATACAAATAATAGCTAAGGCACTAATTATCAAGAATGACACAAATGGTCTTCTAGTAATTTAATCTGACTGTAAACTGTTTGTATTTTTTCTGGGTATATTTGGCCTGATGTTACCATAATTATGATTATAAGCAGCCACAATACTTATTTAATTAGCCATGAAATGCTCGCACATAGGGTTGAAAAACAGTGTAGACCACTGCACAAATTATTAACAGTGCAAGCTGGGATATGAAAGCTTGGCCACCCAAGAATGGTCAGCTTGTGGTTCAAACATCTAGACCACATGGTTCGCAACCTGAATGGAAATCATTGCATCAAATCAAGCTGGTTTAAATTACAAATATAATTTTTTTCACTAGAATAATTTGTGAAATAAAAGAAATTTTTTAATTGAGTAGTCCTTTTGATCTAAATGTTTAGCATTTGGTGTATTCTGGCGTTGTTTTTGCATCAGAAGAAATAATATAAATGAAGTTTGCTTTACCAGATATGTTACATTGAATGCTCAGTACATTCCCAAATGCTTGCAAAAATCAATTTAGCAAGTGAATCACATGGGAATCGAACCCACGACCTCCAGATAACTAGCCCAGCATCTTAACCACTCAACCACAGAGCTTGTGCTTAGCAGCATGAATCTGGTAGCATTGCAGTACCCACTGCTACTCGGGCTTATGTTGGTGGTCGAATGGTTAAGACACTGGGCTAATCCGCAGGTCGTGGGTTCCATTCTTACACGAATCACTTGTGAAATTGTTTTCGCAAGCATCTGGGAAACCTACTGTGCATTCAGTATGAAAACATGTCATTTCAATACAATTCAATTAATTTTATTACAAATGAAAATGCATCATTTGCAGTAGGGCAGACTTCATTTGTACAGTTGATGTATGTTATTACTGTAATATGTTAATAGAAATGTTATCTTTGTAAAAGCAGCAAAATAGATATGATGAATCATCGGCAATCTCTAGTGGCCCTTTTGCATCAAGAGATGTTCGTTACAAACAAGAGGTATTGTTTACTTTCATTAAAAAAAATAATCTATTTGTTGTTTATTTATTTAGGAACATGTACAGAGGATTGCTAACAGAGAACTTAATCACTCTCTAAGTAGCAATTCCATTTACAAGAAAAATATGTACATCATCATCTTGCATATATACTTAGCGTTCCGCAAACTTTTAGACTGACGACCCATTTTGGAAATTCAGGCATGAATCGCGACCCCCTGTAGTACACCATTTTGAGACTAGGATTTTAAATTAAAATTTTAAATTAAAATTTTAAATGAAAATAAATAATGCACATACCGTAAAACCTTGAACAGAAGCCCTATGGGCTTAATCTCTAGAAAAAGCCCACCTCGAATTGAAACCCCCTCCCCCTCTTTAGTTTGCAAAAGTAGTCTCAAAAAGAAGCCCATCTCGAGATAGAAGCTTTTTTTTCAGTACATACAGTGTATATGAATTTTAAAGAAACAAAATAAATTAAAAACACGCTTGGTTTTATACAGTAGTTTAGATTTAAATTTTGATTTAATGCCATTTAAGTACAATCCATGTTACAGTGGCCCTATTTATTGTTTCATATTAGGCCAAGTAAAAAAAAAAACATGTTTCGCGTCCCCGCCCGCATCGTTTTTTTCGCCCACCTTGATTTTTTTTTTATTTTTTTATTTTTGGAAAATTCATGAAAATAAAGAAAAAATATATCGAAAATTTAGAATTAAATGTTGGAAAATAAATACCCTAGCCTAAAATAGTGCAATATCTTCGTCTAACCTTTCGTATAGTAAAGCTATGCCTAGGCTAGCCCAATATCTCTACCTAGGCTAGGCCTAGGCTAGCCCGATATCTCTAGGCTAGGCTTAGGCCGTCGCCTACTCTGGGCGTCAGGCGGCAAACCTCGAGTTCACTTCACTAGAGCGCGTTTGTCATGCATACAATTGCCGTATTCGATTGGGACTATACGTTGAGTATGTTATCCCGTTGAGTACTCTTATACACATCTAGATGTGTATAAGAGACAGATACTATTAGATTGTATACAGTAACAATGATTCCTAAATTTTATATGTTGAACAAAACTAGACGGGAAATGTCAACAAGTCTGTAGAATGGCGGCCATTTTGAAAAATAAAAAAGGCCGCTTCCTCAATTAAAAAAAAAAGCCGGACGTGAAACATGTTTTTTTTTTTACTTGGCCTTAGTAATCCCAAAATTTACAGCATTCATTTTGAAAAGATGTAGATGCATTTTTCTTTGTTGTACAGTGTCATTGCAAATGAACAACAAAGAATGCAGATTGATGACTTCATTTATTTTTACAAAGTAACATGTTTCAAATTACCATAATGCCTATAATATTCAGCTACCTGTCAAGGCTATGCGACACACCAAAATATTCTGGAGACCCACTGGCGGGTCACGACCCAAGGTTCGCGGAACATTGACCTACCTTTACCTTTACCCTTCTGCCTTAAATCATCACAAATGATTTTGATGTTTAAAGTAATTTAAAACTGATGTTAATTGATATTTTCCAGCAACATGAAGAACAACCATTAAGGCTACCAAAAGGAAGAGGTATGTTCAGTGTCAACATTAAAATATGAGAAGCCTTTTCAAATTTCCTTTATGTTACTACATATGTACCTTACAAATGAATAACCGCCACATTTTTTGTTTGTTTATGCAGGTTATTAGGACCTTAGTGGAGTAATGTTGCAGCCTGTGATGCATAAATTGTTTATAATCATACTAATCTTTAGAAAATGCCTCCAGTATAAAATGTTTACCTGTATGGCGATGTCAAATTACTTTTGTACAGTAATAGGGTACTTAAGATGACACATGCCCCATCATGCACCTCCACCGGATTTACACTCTCCGCCATCTTTAATTGCCAGATCATGACATAATGTCTTTTTCCCCCCGAGGGGGCATCAACGCAGAAAGCGCCTCAGCAGTTTTCTGGTTATTATATGTGCGCTATATAAATCCTATAAAATATAATAAAATAATATATAAATCCAACTACTGTATATTACATCAATTTAGTAAAAAGATCTCCACCATTCATTTGCAGGTATCGCAGGAAACATAGGTGCTGTTGGTCAACATCCGACAAGCCTCAGAAGCCCATCTCAGACCTCTTTCAAGAGCCACTCGGATGTTGACACTTCGTCTGAGCCTGACTTTGAAGCCATGCCAGACCTAGACATTGCAGAACACTGGAGACCCGGACCCAAAGCTCCTCAAGCCAACTTCAACATCTCAAATTCAAACGCTGACGAATGGCCAGCTCTTGGAGGTGGGTAGTGCACACTGAAGCCCTGTCCAGAAACAAATTTTATATGACAAAGACATGTGACATGATGACATCACATCATGACCATATTTAGACACAGTATGACTATATATGGGCATACAACAGTTTTTTGTCAAATGAAATGTCAGAGTGGATAGGGCTTAAGATTTGTCTTGTCATCGATGCCGAATTTCATTAAGTGTATTCTTGATAACATGCACAAATTTTGTGCAAAGTTTACCGGTACATAATACTATCGACATATGTTTTTTTTTCCTGTGTTACAGGTTCGTCTGGGAAGTACCATCAACAAGGTGCTAAGCCCAAGAAGTATAGTAATGGTTTGATGGCCCCACCTCCATCTGCCGTGCCACAGCCAGCTTCCTCCTGGCAGGCAACTGGACGAGGTAGAGGCCTAGTAACAGGCAAGTTCATATTATTATTATTTGCTGCGAAGCAGCCAATTTATATTCTTGACAGCAATTTGATCTCTGAAAGGTCATTGTTTGTCAAAAAAACAAGGGCTTATGACGACTGAAAAGCGGAGTTTCCTTCTTTCGTTCTGCCGAGTAAAATCCTTTACTTTAGGCGACATTTGTACCAACGTCCGCATGTCGCGCTAGCCTTATCCTACTCTAGGCCTAGACTATCTAGGATGGTATAGGCCTAGCCTTGAAGGGACGAAGGTCCCAATGAAAAATGACGTCGCTCCTTGATAGCTAACATTGTCTATTTAACATCACAATAATTCATTATTAGACCTATAGTTGTTTTTTGAATTGTACTCCACAAATCTCAGCCGATACCTCGCACAACTCAAGTAACGTCTCGTACTGTATCTATTGTCTTGACGTCATGGCTCGGTGGATCATACTTGTGATGTCTCGCACTTGTGATCAAATAACACGCTGGCTCACACTTTGGCAACACTCTTTGGCAGTCAACTCGCCCCTAAAAAACCCGCCCTTGGAAACTTGCCCCATAAAAAAATGTACACTTCCTAGACCATGCAGTCTTCAAAAAAAAATAAAAACTACATTTTCTACATACATAGAAATTTTTGAAACTTATTTTTAAAAAATCCTAAACCATAATTCACCACTATAGACACTTTTTGACAAAAATGAAAAATTACGACTTTCTTACCCAATGAGAAGTGTTCTAATATATACAATGGGTCGTGTCTCATATTATTTGTTATATTTTTATTATTCATTATTTTCACTTGACTCGCATAAATAATTTTGTTCGAAGAACATTTATATGCAGTTGTACTTCGCAGCACCTCACTTGCAATTTGCAATTTCTAGTTTACATTATTAGTTGGTGTAACAGTTGTGGCTCAGACTTCCAACCTTGAGGTCAGGGCTTTGAAACCTTCACTGTGCAAGTCACTTGTTTCACGTTTTCCTACCTGGAAAGGTAAAACAGACTGATTGTGCGGAAACTTCAACTTCTGACTTTACCCACTGTGTTTATTGGAATAAACACCCCGCTTTGAATAAACTCCCCCCACCCCATTAAGGGCTGTTTATTTGGGTATATGCGTATCCACTTGAAACCAAAAGAATAAACCCCTCCCTCAAATAGATGCCTCACTCGAATAAGCCTTTTCTGAATAAATTCCCCCTCAAAAACTCTTTCGAACAATAAACTTTCATTCTAATAATAAATGCAGTATTACACTAAATACAGTAGAACCCCTCTGGGACAACCATTTTGGCATGAATCAAAAGATAAGTATATTTTTTAACACTATGGCTAAACCCAACTCAGGGGACATCCCTATTAAGGTAACATGTTTTGGTCCCTAAGGTCTCCCTGTAATACTGTATTATGTAAAAAATTATAATTATCTCTTGATTTACATAAACAAAGCTAATGTCAACATATTTGTATTTTAAAGCTCTGTCCAACTGTTGTATGCCTATGTAGTCACGTGCCTATATATGGTAATGATGTCATCATGCCCATATTAGGCATGCCACATGTTTTTGTCAAATAAAATCTGACAGTCTGGACAGGTGTTAACATTTTTATTTGTTCTACACGTAGTTGCTGGAACAGATCCGAACACCACAGCTAGGCAGTTTGGTCAGCTGTCGGTAAACAACAGAAACTCGTCAGAAGAAAAAACGAAACAGATTCAGGAAATGTTTCGAGGTACAGGTAGAGGACGAGGGATACTGGCCTATCACAACACTTAGCTTTCCAAAACAGAAAGACTCTACGCATTACAGTACTTTGTAAATGTGTAAAAATGTAGTAAATCACATATGTGGCAAAGACAAGCCAAACCAGTCACTCGTCGCAAATATCGATTTTGAGTTATTAATACAATGTTAGAGAGTAAAATAATAGCTATAAAATGGTAAAAAAAATCATTCAAATCGGACATTTCCTTATGAAGTTACAAGCGTTTAAACATACAGTACAGCTGTTTAAAGAACAATATATGAGAAATCAGCCTTCAAAGTTTATGATTTCAGGCATTTCTCATGCAGAAACTATCATCAAATCCTTAAAAAGTGTTGTTTTAACATTGAAAATGGGGAAAATAACAGCATAGAATGATGTATAGATATATAAAGATTAGTTTAGTGCAATAAAATAGATTTTTAAAAATTTGACATTTAAGCATGTTTTGGCCATTTTCTCTGAAACACGATTTGCGACGAGTGACTGGTTTGGCTTGTCTTTGCCACATATATAAAAAAAAAAACAACTTAAGCTTAGTATTTTTGATAAAATTAAGTAACATTTTTACATGTGGACCCAATCATTTATTCTTTAATTGGTATTGGTTCAAGAGCAAAATAAGAGAAAAAAAAGATACTCTTCTTTTAGATATATTGAAATAAATTGATTTTTTTTAAATTATTATCTGTTACCTATAAATCATTGTATTAAAATGTACCTTTCTCATGAAACTTAAATACCATATATTCTCATGTATAAGATAAAGCATAAAATTGCAAATTACGATTAAAAAACGGGGTCGTCTTATACGAGCAGCACATGCAATTTTTTAAAATTTTTTAATCATGTTCATCTAATGTGCGCATCATCCGTAACGCACAAATTTACTGCTGAAATGAAGCTAGTAACTTAGTGTGGATTAATGCAATTCACAGCTGAACGCAGTCTAAGACTGTAAAGAGCAGAAAATAGTAGGAGTTCCGACAGTGAAACAGGGATGTCGTCTTATATGCGAGAATATACGGTAATGTTGCACAGTCACAATAATGTGTTAGTTGCTGTATATAATATCCCGTGCAAATGAACAGATTGTAGAAGCACGTATGATGCTCTACATACATTTCCACGTTGCGTGGATAGGCCATATAGTGACCTAAAAAAACATGCTCTAGATATATATGTTCAGGGATTCGTAGGGTGCATGCATTGTATATTATTGTATAGCTATACTTTATTATATACATATTCAGTGGTCTGTGGGTTGAGTGGTGCAAAATGTACTTTTATTTAGCGTACATGCAGCATTGTTAAATTATATCCCGCACAGGCTATTCTGTGTTGGCAGTTCACACCTGTAGTACAAATCAAAAAAAAGCTGGTAGTACCAAGAAAATTTTATAAAAATTGTACATCAATGCCAAACATGTGAAAAATAGTCAGAAAAAAGACAAGCTTAAACTCCACCGTGCTTTCATTTTGCAACAAAAATATGTTTTTTGAAGTGTGTATGTCTTTCTAATTTAGGTTGAAGATTCAAGATAAAGTTTATTGTCCAATAAAAGTAACAGAAATTCATTTGAAGCCAAACAGAATTTAAAAAGTATGTATTCAACTTATGGCAATTTAACAAATGGGCATGACATACTGTATGTGTAAAAGCTTATAAATAGAAATAAATATATATATATATATAAATACTACAGTACATGCCTAACACAAATTTAAAAACACTAAAACATTCAAGAGAGTTCGTATAAAAAAGTTCAAAAGATAAAAAATTGTAAAATAGTAAGGAGAAATCAGCTTTAAAAAGGTCATGGGTCACACATAGGGTGCTTGGATTCAATCTCAGGTTTTATGGTTCATATTTGGGTGCACATAGCCAAAGCATCATCATGGTCTTGTATTCTTGCAATTGTGGTCCCCATAGACAATGTAAGCCAACCTTTTTGGTGTGCAAACAACATCATCTCCGCAGTGCTTTCTATCATTCAGTGTTTATAAGGTGAATAATGAATGTGCATGGGAAGAATATTTTCATGAGTTAAATGGAACAGTCAATTTTTCAACTCATGAAAATATTCTTTCCATTGTACGAATAAAAAACATTTATTTTATAACACACAGTACATCGTCTTTTAGCCAATGAAAAGATTGTATTAGGTTGAGGCGTGCAATGGGCCAAAATGAATAGAACAAAAAATACACTGATGGAACTAAATTTTTTTTATGAGTGCCGAAATGGTGTAAATAACCAATATCATGTATCACATGACATTGAAAATGGCCTATTTAGGTGTGTTATAAAAGGTGATAGATAATGCTATATAATGCCATGTTTGAGTCTGTCGTGTGTTTCATTCTTGAAATCCGGAGCTGCACTGATGAGATCTAACAAGATCGAAACGGTACTGTCTTCAGATTGGAGAAATCCTTTGTCTAGATTTCGACTTAACTTCATTAAAATTTCCCCTTAGCGGCAGTATTTTCGCCTTAAGGTAAACATGTAACAAAAATTATTATTGTTTAATTTTTATAATGTAAATTATATTTTTTAGTTTTGAAGTAAACATGTTGTTAGAACAGTATTTTAAGTAAAACCATGTTAATATTTCAACTGTTTGGAGCTTATTTTATGACACCCAGCTAATGCACAGTATTTTAAGTACTTGTTAGGAAGTGGAAACAAAGCCATGTATTGTATTTATTGCATTGCTTTTGAAAGTGGATTTATTGTACTGAACTCAATATAACTTTTAAAAATAAAACCATGTTAAATATTTCAACTGTTTGGAGCTTATTTTATGACACCCAGCTAATGCTAGTAATGGTACAATACTTTCATTGCAGTTATTTTCATAGTCTCTCTATACTGTTAGACTTGACAGTGAAATAAACTGTTTTGATTTTAAAGAAAAATAAAAATAAGTTGTTTTTTTTAATATTAATTTTAATGTCTTCTAGTTTTTTATTTATTGAATCAAATAAACACTGAAATGAAAAATATGTATTATTTAGTCTGTGGAAATTTGAATTTTACAGCATTGTTTAAAATATGCATGTAGTGTAATTGAAGTTTTAGGCGAGTCAAGAGGCCGAGCAACAAGCCAGGGCCGCCGCTATCTACAGCCTTAATATCTCGGCGCTGGTTCGAGCCACTCCTCGTCTAGGGTCTGGTTGGTCTTCCCGGATAAGGACTTAAAATGGAGGTCCAGTGTACACATCTGGCTGTGTCCAATTTAAAGAACCAACTGCATCTAATATGGAAGGCCCCGATGCTATGGTTCATTTCCACCCGTCGTTGTGGAATGATGTGAATATGTAGCCACGTGAAACAGCTCTTTACGGCGGCTGGGCTAATCATGGACCATGCCTATATGCAATTCAGCAAAATAACGCTGCGAGTTAGGGGTTATCTACCTGTACCCTTAAATTTATAAAGCACATGCATTAGCTCTTATAGTACCTTCCTTCTAACTTCCTTGTGAATAGTTATTAACAATACAAATATCATATATGTAATATTGTACCAATCAGATGGAGACCTTTATTTCACATGGTTTATTTTACACCAAAGCAAACAATATATAAACATGAAAACAAATTTATTTACACCACAATAAGAAATATAAAAGTATTGGAATTTAATTGTACTGTAACATCGTGGCCGATTTTAATCAAAAGATGTTATATTGACTTAGATTTGACTGTTATCAATTTAACTGCTATTATTAATATGGAGCTGTTACTTTGTAATCGCATTCCAATCTTAAAGTCCTGGGTTCAATTAAGAAAACAATCTTAAAAAAGGGTGGGAAGGTGGTCCACTGCAGGTTGCTCCCAGCATTATGCTGGAACCTATACTGCTGGGTAGACTAAATGCAGATAAAATACACTCTTGTTGGCACCGCCGCTGCTACATACAACACATGGTACCATTTTTTACACTCATTATTTTATAGTTAAGGTGCTACTTCTAATAAGCGCTACTCTTGAATAAAGTGCCACACTTAACCTCCAAAACTGTTGTAAATACTTAATATGAACAATTCCGTTGCTTTTAAACGCGCAAAGACAGATTGCCTTTCAAGCAAAGAAACAGTAGCTGGAATGGTATAAAAGTGTGGCTCTTGCTTCATTGTACGACAGTCGTAGGACTGTCAGCTGACAAATCCAACTCCACTCTCCGTGAGCGCAAGGTGACGCAAAGCCTCAATTAAAAATTGCGTTGCATTTTACAGAGGATTGCACCGGATGATGACCATCGGGCGCCGTGATTGCCTGGCTTCCTGTGCAGTACTTTATTGCTATTACTCATCCACATTCAATACGCTACAGATGTTTAGATGATGTAACATGGTTGAGGGCATTATCATTGTTCGTTGTATAATCTCAAATCTTGCTGAATCTCCATAGCAACCTTCCTCACATCACTGCACTGGCTTCTACACAGCTTGTCCAAAGTGACGGTTGATAGCTGAAAGTAAACTAAGTCTATTAAAAAACTGGACATTTCAAACATTTAATCTGGTTAGATTAATGATTTTAATATTTATTATTATTTAGATTTGTAATGTACCCATATCTACCAATATAATCATGAACCAGCAAGCACTCCCTAGGCCTTCAAAGTGCTGGTAAACAGAGGTAATACTGGTTCCTCTGCTTCGGGTTAGTTTGTAAGATATATCCTGGCTTAGGTTTCTGAATTCTTCTTTTTCCACTGTTCACATGCCTTGAGCATTTCTTTAAAATTGATACGAGTGCTGTACAAATATTATTTATTATAAATGCATGTGATGAACCCAAATTTAAAATGTTGGACATTATGCAATGTTCAAGTGGGAGTGAAAAATAATTATTTTACCAGTTTTCTAGCTGACTGGAGGAAGTTGATGTTGTCATGTTCAGTGATGAGCGACTGGATAAGTAACAGGCTGTGAAGTTTCAACTCCGGACCACATTCCTCTGTAAAAACAACAAAGAGTTTCTGTTAAGCTACGCTACTTGTTTCAATTTCGCTTCACTGCTCTCCTATGTTTTAGTTGCGGGAAGAGACGTTTATGCATTTGGTGTCCTGTGTGCAACATCGCCCATATTGCATGTTAAATATTATGCTGTGCATTCTTCAGAAAAGTGTAGGGGGTTGTCCCCTAGTGTACTTCGCCATTACCACCACTGGTAGTAAGTTTTTGGACTTCAGTGGGCTATATCCTTTTGGGGTTGACACCAAATTCAATCCCGGATCCAACAATTCGACGATATATCCATCTGGGGGTTTAGAGATGATCATGCAAGCATTGGCCTTTAGCCAGTGTTATTCTCTGGACACGCTCCTGGTCATTGTGTATTGTGTTGAATTTGTAATAATTAATTTAAAAAAAATATAATGTTTATATTCAACCCACTATCAAACACAAACGTTATACGGTACAACTTAGTGTTCGCAAACACTGTGGGTACGTCAGAAAATGACAGATAAATATGTGATTATGGTTCTACAAAAAAAAGTTTTAGTACCAAACTATAATGTTCAGTTCATTTTTGTATAAGGTGGAGTGAGTGCAGTATCTGTTTGGGCTTGTGCCTATTCTCACTCAGGGCTTAAATTGTACTTGATGACTGCCAAATAAATATTATTAATGTTATAATGTTAACATACTGTTTGAATGTTTGCATGGTGAATTAATAATATATTAAAATGCTTGTGGTACACATCACATATATAATTCTGAAAAGAACTATTGTATTTTAAATTGAGAATTGATTCGATATTTAATTGATTGATTGGATATTTTTCTCCTGATGATGATCAACTCAATCAAAACAATGAGACACTCCATAAAAAACAACAGTTCTTTTCAGAACTACCTATGTGGTGTACCTCAAGCATTTAAAATATTATGTTATTAAATGAGTTATTTTCACTAAGAGATTTGTAGTAGATATGAATTGTTTGGTGTACAATGCTTTTTGTCCTAATACACTTTGATCAAAGACAACACTTTGATTGCTAAACTTGACCACCCGACTCTATTTGGTATAAAAATTATTTTATTACACTAACATACAAATAGCAATATCTATTGCAATCTAATCTAGTCCACTTCCCCCTAAATTACATTTACAATCCTAAAAACCAATCAAATAGAATTATTAATTAGCAATATACATATAAACTCACCTTTCAGTAATGTCGCTAGAGGATCCAAAATAGATGTCTTGGTGGTTATGTACTTAAATCCCTTCTTATTTATCGTCAGGTTATATAGTGACATTAGAATTAAACTGCAAGATATTTGATATGTACAGTATTGATCAGAATCACAAGAAAAAAGTTCTGATACAAGTTGAAACTGCTGTGTGAAAATTGTGACTTAGCCGTGGAAGCATTCGTACACGAGTCAATTACTCAGTAACAGTAATGAAGCAGTGTCATGTGTCTACCGTGACAGAGAGACGTACAGTACACTCCTGAAATTTGCCGACAGAGGGTCTAATATGGGTTCGAACCAAGGTGTCACGGAATAACATCTCTGGTAGGGTTAATGGGGAGAGTTGTTATAGCTAGGTATGGTCCAAATTGTATTTTTAGACCATAACATTAGGGATTGGCAATTTTAATTATGTTATGTGGATATGTAAATTATTTTTGGTCCAACGACCTCATCATGGTGACAGACAACAGCAGGTGGGGGGTGGGGGTCCAAGTGGGGGGAAAATGACCTCCCTCTGGTGCCACCGCTAGTGCGGTGCCACCGCTGGTTGAGCCTACTGAAGTTGCTTACTTCTTCATCTGACTAGCCCCTTTGGTTGGTGCATCTATCAGCATGGACATCATTGTGTCTATAACCTGCATTCCTTCAGGATTATCTGCAAGAACATCCCGACCAAATGATGATGCTGCAATATCTACAGAAAATATCAGAGGTGTGAATGAATAGAAGTAACAAAAACATTAAAATTGATTGAACAGGGAGTGAGGCACAGGAACCCCTGTTCAAGATTCAGCAAGATTTAAAATTTAGGAAATAAATTTACATGAACACCACATTACACATTCAATGCCAATAAAAATAGTCTTAAAAAAAATAAACATGAAACACAAAAAGGAGTATGAAAACATGAAGAAACTTCAACATAGATATAAAGATTTTTAAGATCTGTTTACTTTTAAAACTCTGTTTAAACTGTTAAAAATTATGCAATTAAATTAAAACCTAGTTGCACATGAATTAAAAAGATAGATAGATTGCGATGCGTTCTCTGTTGATTCACGTCAGTCGACGATGCTGGCCCAGTACTTAAGTACCTGCCTTTAGAGTGCCATTTCCAGGAATTCCGAGGTGTCTATTCTTAAAATTTATACAGTGGGTCTGTGGAGATTTTAGACCCCTGTCAAGGAACTTGGACCTACCACCAGAAACCTTTACCCCTGTTAGGGAACCGTGCTTCTTGTCGGGAATTTCTGTCGTCCCCACTGATCGATTATGCACTTGAAAATGGCTTACTTGTGATGATCCCACATAGAGAACAAGCAAACTGTGCCTCGGTGCTCTCCTCAGCTGGCATGTCATCATGATACGTCTCAATGTAGCTTTTCAGTGTCTGACTTACAAACTGGAACAAATCACCAACTTTGGGCTAAAAATGAAATCTACAATATTATGATGGGTAATCAAACCGGGAAAATTATATAAGGGTACTGTACACACTGTATGTGTTTGATTTTTTTTAAATAAAATTTGTATAATTATCTTTATATTTCCTATTTTGTTGAATGATAAATTTGCTTTCTCAAGTAGACTGGCGATCTTATATCTGTATATACATTACTGTATATGTATATGTACTGTATATACATATTGTATATGTTTATATACAGCACTGTATATATAATGCAGTACCAGCCAACAGCACTGTATATGTAATGCAGTACCAGCCAACAGCTCAGGAATACAATTACTCTAAAGTTAGTCACAGAGTGACTACATTTATAGTCTATATAATCAGTTATTTTTTTTAATATACTGTAGTTCAATAATATAGTACATAAATCACAAGCATTGAAGCAGAAAAAACCAAGTAATTAAAATAATCAATGCACTGACAGAACATAATAACTTAATCTAACACAAAAAACAAACTTTAGTGTAACTTCATAGACCAAGAACATTAATGATCATTAAGGCCATTTATTATTTACATATAATATATACATTCATGTATCAATATTATATAATTAAATGAATCTGAAAACTTACTGCTGACAACATACTAACAACAGCTTGTTCATTCTGAGACACCCTCCACAAAGCCGTACAGTACGTTGATCCCATACTGGCAAAGTAATCTGATTGTAAATTATGTTGCTGGCTGATTTCTTGTAACTCCCTTTGTAAACAAATTTTCTCCTTTGAACAAAAAGGCAATGAAAAACAGTGGTAACATTAAGCTAAAACCTTCCCCCTCCTGTGCACCCCCGTAGAAACACCACTGCCTGTATCCATGTGCAATGGGTACTACTGCTGTAGAACCCCTCCTTTAAGACACCCCCATTAACAGGACACTTTTAGACCACAAAATGAGTGAAATTACTACAATTTTTTGGTCCTGTAGCCATTTTGTGACTTGACTTGACTTTATTCAGTATACCTTAACATCAACAATAAAATCAAATAACAAAGAGTTTCAAAAAAGTTAATACAGACTTTAAAATAGGGAAAAAGATTAACAATTAAAATTCAATAAAATCTGATGTTGAACACTAGGTACACTAGGATAGCCCATGGAAGTTGTATGAAAGGACTTATTTCCAATGGGGTCCTTGAGAGAAAAAAAGAAATTAAATTAAATTAAAAGGTCGCAAAGCATATAGTAGGTTAATAGTAATTAATTTAAAACAATGTAAAAATGTAAAAAATGTGTTTACCTTTCTCTCTTTTTGACAGTCCATCTGAGTTTTTTCAAACCGAGACTTCCAATGATAAACCTCAAGGTTCTTTTCTTTCAATTTTTGTTGAGTTTGTTCAAGTTCTGGAAATAAACAGAAAACAAACTTGATTAAATCTAGCACTTAATGGAAATTATGAAAAAGTCTGCACGTAAAACCATGGTATAAACAGTACATGAGGCAAAAGTCCCCCTTAGCAGAAATGGTCCATAGTGAGCTGTCTGATAGTTGAGAGTGAGCTGTCAAATGGTCCAGAGGGAGCTGTTAGCAGCTCCATAAACTTAACTTTAATTGGCTTTAAGAATGTCCATTGGAAGTTAACAAGAGAGTCCTGTCCAGCAACATATAGCCATTGGAATGTAAACAAGAAACCCATTACAATCACTCACTTCATCTCATGGGCTTCACTAGCAATAAATAATTTAAGAACCCATCGCTATTAAACAAACCAGCAGGATTTATAACCCATGTCTTTCCAAAAGCCGGGTGCCATGGACCAGTTCTGTTAACGGCCAAAAATGCAGCATGAAATTTATTTTCATTTCAAAACTTACCTTGAATTGCATATAATTCATTGCAGATGGAATTTTCCCCCCTGTCGGACAGGCCTGGACCGCCCCGTTGTACAACAACATGGCGTGGTTGTCATACCAAAAATATTAATTTGCCTATCCAAATAACACTATTTTGATTGCCAATCCCTAAAATTGTGGTCTAAAAGCACAATTTTGGGCCATACTACTATGCAATAAAATACTTCCAATGAACACTACCAAAAATGTTTATTCCAGGACCCTGGTTCATACCCCGCTGTCAGACTCCCCTGTAAGCAAATTTATGGAGCCACCTGAGCACAACTTGTTGTGACTGACAGTAGTCATATGACCACTTTTGCCACTCCATATTGCACCATTACATAGTTGTCTGTTGTGTGTTTGATTTGCCAGAATAATAATTAATAAAAAATAAAATAATGATCAGTTTTAAGTATCGAGAAAAAGAAAATACAAATTGATAGATGTCTATGACTTCCATACGCATTGCCAACCTTTTTCTATATTACTGAGCCCTGCAATTTTTTCAATGACATCTTGAGTAAAAACATTTGAAATATTTTGTTTCAGTCGAGTTGTTTCTTGCTTTAGCATCTCAAAATCTGTTTGCTTTATCAGCATAATTGAGGGATCTGCAACCTAAAATTAGAAAAGAGATATTCATAACTAGGCCCCTATTATATATTTGATAATGAAAGTATAATATACTATAATACATTGAAAGTATTAGTATATAATTTGAAGAATCAATAGGCATAAATTTAAATAATAACAATCATAATAATTATAGCAAAATTAAATATAATATATAACTGAAACTTTATCTCTTTTCACACAATAAAAAACAATAGCAAATATCGATACTTTTATTATCATCTACGTACTAGGGCTATGCTGTTCTCTTCTGCTGATGAATCCATTTGGTGTTTTCTAAACATTGATGCCTCGAACTGCCAAATATAAAATATAAATACTGTAATTATCCTTTAAATATAAGGATGGTTCATGAACTGACTGAGCTCCTCTAGGCCTAGGCCCTAGGCCTAGGCTAGCCTAGCTTAAATTGTGTTTATTTTTTTTTTAATTATTAAAATTGATAAATCCAAAAAGGGCCTTTCTTTGATTGAAAGCAATTACTAATAATAAATGTAATGTTAATTATGAATTATTTATTTCTCTGGTGGTCAGTAGCTTGCGGCATATGGTCACTGTAGGCCTAGGCTATGGCCTTTGTTTGCTGGCAGACAGTAGTACTCTTGTGGGCAGAAGGCAGGCCTATCTAGGTTATGTATAGGCCTATCTGTCAATGATTTTAAAAAAATAATGGTCCGCTGCACTAAATAAAAAATGAATATCTTCTGAAGTTGCGGGGTATTTGGCAATAATTTAGTTGAACTTAAGCATTAAAATTCTAACAAAAGCTAAAGAATATTGACTTTATTCTTCTTATCCTAAGCAAAACTTACGAAGTTCTTTCAACGGTTCCTCCTGTTTTCTTCGTCCGCCCGTGTCCGATCCTATGACCAAAGATATACGCTTTGCTATGACGAAATGAAATTGTCTTGGATCCTAACTTTTTATGAATAAATGAGGGCGCTAGAACATGAATTATGAACGTGCTAAGTTGCGTTTCTGACACGTGCAGAGCGCGAGCAAGCAGTGTGTGTACCTGTGCCGGAAACATAAAAAAGGCACCAATTTGTGTTTGTAACGTTTATACGTGCTATAGTTTATGTAATGAATTATTAATTTGCATCTATATTTCGCATGATGGTTTTCCGCAAATTGCCAAAAGTGTTTTTTAACTCACAAATTTCATTTGTGTTTGTGTGAGTCCACAAAATTATATACCGGCTCATAATTTTGTTAAAGATATTGATAGGCGTGCATAATATTTAAAAATGGGTTGATTTTAATGTAAGGTTATTTTGAATATAATAGTCCTATATAGACAATTATTTTAAAAACTAAAAATATATTTATATACTACGTACACGATCTTAATTATACTTTTATATTTTTTTTTTATCTTTACAATTTAAACCCATAATCATTTGTTTCGTACATGTGCATCCCAAGGGCATTATAATTAAATTAATTAATTACCGGTTAGTTAAAACACCTCACTCTCACCCACTCGATGTGTATAATGATGCCAAGCTCCTCCGTTTTATTTAGACGTCCTATTTGATTATACACAATCACTTAATCGTTTTTAATTCAATATAATTTGTTTCAGATTTTGTTGTGAGCCTACATTAGTAGTAGTAGAACTTTACGTTTTTCTCATCACCACAGCCTATTTAAAAAAATCTCGGCAATCATGGAACCAGCATTCCCGGAAATGGAGGTCACCATAACTTTGCATATGATGCATAAGCAATAACTTTGGGTCGCGAATTTATAGTCGACCAGTAGGATAGCGATTTTTAGCATCTTGTGTTTTGGCTGTGCTGGGTATCCTGTCGTATGGTAAATAAAGAGCCTGGGCTAGGCCTAGTTTGTTGATCAACTCTAAAGGCAAAAGTCTGCAAAAGGTATGAATTAGTTGTGTATTAGACTATGCTCAATTTAACAAGCCGTACATGTATTTTATAACTGTATATTATGATGTATTACCATTTCAGACGATTTACATCGTCTAATTTTAGGCTCAGTCTTTGACTTCGGCTGTTTCTGACCCCTCGCCGCAAACACAGCAGCAGTGCGGCATTTGCAGTTGTGCGCAAGATGATGGGATGAGCCCACACGAATGACAACAACGTTTGCACTGATTCGATTAGGCCTAGGCCTAGCTGTTTTGGCGTCGGCATAGTTTTGTATCTATTAACCTAATGTTATAGAATGACGAAGAAAATTTATAAATGATGTGTCTTCTACAGACTAGGCTCAACAATAACATTCAACAATAACTAACACGAATTTTAGAAACATCTAATTAAAAAGCCAAAATGATAGAATAGAAAGAAAGTGGGAGACGAGACTAGCTAGTCTAATGATGATATTTTCATTAATTGACAAGGCATGGCCGTAGGCCTATCTGAAGTGAAACACCTTTGACGTTTTATTTTCCTTTCTTATTTTCATGAAGTTTAATTTTAATATCTGACTTCAATTTACAGCTCATTCTCATAATTACAGTATGCCTAACATATTCTAGTATATTTTATTCAGTCATCATTGCATAATAGAAGGTGATTAATTGCAAAAGGAAAATTGTATAAACAAATATAAAAACCTGTATTATAGTCTAGGCCTAGCTGTGATATATAACTGTGATAAAGCTCTATTTAACAGTGATAAAATTTTAAAATTATAAACAAAATGATAATTTTTATTTATTTGGTGTAATGATTCCCAGTGGAATTGGTTAGTGCATAAAAAAATAATTCTTCTTTGGTCATGTGTTTGGACATTTTTAACAAAAAAAAAAACCAATTGGTCGTGTGTGGCTGAATTGCAGTTTTGTTCTGGCCCATGTAATTTCAAAATCCTATTTGTGCAGTCGACCTACTGTACCATCCTTGAATTTAAAAATTCCTGTTACGAACCAGACTGCCAATCACCTATACTAATACTTATCAAAAAAAAAAAAAAAAAAAAAAAAAAAAA